TGATTTGCTCTCTGAAACAGGGAAGATGGGTGCTAGACCAGTTGCTACTCCTATTGATATGAGTCATAAACTCTCTGCTTCAGATGGAACATTGTTAGAAGACAAAGGAGTCTTCCAGAGACTTCTTGGAAAACTTCTGTATCTATGCATGACTCAGCCAGACATTGCATATGCTGTCAGTTGCATCAGCCAATTCATGCATGCTCCCCGAGATACTCATATGGCAGCAGCAGAGCGAATCCTGTGTTATCGTTTGATTGGACCAACAATTACAAAAATTTAAAATTTATAAGTTCAGCTTCAAGTATACACTTTCACCCCTGCTTCACTAAATAAAAATTGAAACATTAAACTAATATAGAAATATTTAGATGCTTGCAAAATTCTGACTTCTAAAAACATGTAGTCATACATAGAAATAGAAAGTTGATTCAACATTATACCAAGCTTGGTTTGAAAACAATGAATTGCATTTGAAGAGAATGACCATCCAATTGAGAGCAACAGATTTGGCTGGAAAACACCTCACCCACTCACATAGAACAATGCCCTCAGTGAGCATCATATATTTGAGTTAATGAGATGCAACACTCCATGTAAAAGGTAGAAGCTTTTGGATGTTAATTTCAAAATACATAGATAAAAGTATACAATTCACTTCAGGTCCCCAGTAACAAATGGGAATTATTTCATAAAGTATAGGTTGTGTTGTACCTGCGATAATATAGATATCACAAGACTGTCCCATGAATCCTCCATGTGAATAGAATATGAGAGCACCTACATTCATTAAATAATATAAGTTGCATCAATAGGAGAAGGGTGGGGAGGGAGAAATAGAGATTTTTGGAAGAAACAATACCATTATGTTCATTAATAATGGACGTAGTAAATCTTAAATATCAGAAACATTAAACACAGATCCGCAAATGATTAGACTAGTTCAAGGTTCATATGACCATTGCCCACTCATATGAGTTCTATTCTCACAACTTGGGTTTGCATTTCCCATATTCACGGTGTGTAAGAATAGAACTGATTTATGGGAAGTGAGGGTATGGAAATACATCCTTGCAGGAAAACATGGAATGCAAATCCTGGACAACATCCAAAATTAAGTTGCATGACAATATTATCGATGAAATGATGTGTTATTACAAAGCCCATTTGGTAACGTAAAATAAGAAGATGAATCATTCAGTTGGATTGAGAGAATTACATACTCAAATGATTACAATGTGGTTATGAGAGATAAATATAGCTCAGCTTGTTAAAACATGCTAAAGAAAAGGAGAAAAAAACTCACTTCTGATTAGTAACAGCAATTGCAAGAATTAAGTGTCAATGGGCCAGGTCTGCTTGACTAATAATTGGGTTGGGACTGATTCTTACTGTTCTGAACCACTTATCCCTTGAATCAATTATATAGTTAATAATAAATAAAGGCCTTCTGGTTTTCTTGTAACTTTGTTATATTTTATGTCTAAAAGGAAAATTCCATAGATAGTAATATATAATAATTTTGGTTAAAAAATACTTTTTTTATCAACATAAAAACAGTTTGCCATTTTACTCTCATTTTTATTAAGGTTATATTATACAAAAATGAAGTTCTAAATTGTAATTATCATAGGTAATTATAGATGTCAAGTATAATTGGGTCTAAATGGGTCAGAATAATTGGTTTGGTTCTGGGCCTATCTTATAGAACTTATTAATAATTGGTTTGGGACATCCATTCTGTCCCAAACCAGACCCTATCCATTGACAGCTCTAATTATATCATCCTTTGGATGGGGATATTAGATTTATGAGAAGTATGTCTCTAATTTGTTCTTTGCAGTAAAACAAAGAGAAAGAAGGAAGAAGAGGAGCTTTCCATCACTGCTGCCACTGCTTCCAATGCTGTCTATCCGTCCGTTGGGTGTATGGGTATGCCTCCCTTCATCCATTCATCCATCTCTCTCATACTACTGGTTGGATCTCTTCACTCTCTCTCTCTCTCTCTGTCTATCTCTCTCTCTCTCTCTTCTTAATCTTCACTCTTTCTTTGGTTTTGCTAACAAATCCCTATCTTTTAACCTTACAGATAAAAAAAAATCCCTATCAGATTTTTCACCTTCTCAGTTTTTTTCTATTTATTTTTATTTCTTATTTTACCATTTTAAATTTATATCTTCTAGCATATACAAACTAATAATATTATTTAATTATTTAGAACCGTGAGTCTGTGACATGCATAGAAAAACACCAACAGCACCTATAAGGACAAGCGATTTATTGCAAGTTGAAGGGGCTAGAAGGGCTTGGGGTAGACCAAAAAGGGCTTGGGTCGACTTAGAAATGGCTTAAGTGCCCATAATTTAACAACTGATATTTATCTAATAAAATTTGATAAAGAACAGAAGAACTAGTTTGAATTGATATGTAGAGTGCAGGTTTAAGAAACTTGACCAGTTCAGCAACAAGCAAGAAATCTTAACAAAAACTAAGGAGAAAGGGGAGATAATGCATCACTACCTGCAGCAATTCTTTGCATATATCAACAGTAAGATATCCTGCTCTAAAAAAGCTTTTTGTTGAGAGAAATTGAAATACTTGAAGAACAGCATCATATAACTTCAAACCCGGGAGGTTGGCCTCTTCAGTTGGTGAATCTCCGGCAGATTTAGCATTACCAAGATTGAGTGGTATTGCTTGTTTGAATTTGACTGGATTATGCCCTTGAAAAAGAACAAGTAGTGCAAACCCCCAAAGGAACTGAAATTCTTTGGGTCCCAGTTCAACCATACTATATCCAGATATACAACTCCCTGAAAAATCCTCACCAGTTGCTTTGGGAGATCCACCCATTCCTGATTTTGCAGGAACTGCATCAAGTGTAATTGCTTGAAGAATTACTGGCCAGGCTTCTTCTAGACATGACTGCAGCTTCGATGAAACCAGCAGCGATTGAATTCCATCCAGGAATGGTTCACACTAGAAGTGGAAAGCAATAACCATAAGAGGGTTGTGCAGTGAAACATCTACAGGTTTTCTGAATATTATACTTACATTAGTCTTAGATTGGAAGTGGAAAGAAATACAACTGTAATCCTTCAGAGTCCGTATCCAGTAATCCCCCAGAATGCTGGAACTTTTTGAAAACAGTGGAATCAATGGTTGATACTCATTTGGAACTATGCTGTTTGGTCTCCTCAAGAATGAATATGTATAACATTTGACAGAGGCATGTGCAGCTAGAAGTCTTATTTTGATCTAACAAAGAAGTGAAATAAGCAAACAAGATGAGACCTTCCTATTCCGAGTATGAAAGAAAATACTGAGAACCAGAAGACTTGATAAATAAAAGGGAAAACATATCCCTGAATCTGAAGTCTTGGGCTACTGCAAGCAGAACATATAATTTAAATAAAAAATAATCAAAGAAGACACCTTGCATGCAACCCATTCTGCAAATGATGGATAGTACAGGTCCTTGAAGTCATTCAATGGATGTGAAATCAATGAGAATATACGTTTAACTGCAACTTGATCCCCACTAGTAATGCTGCTTGTTAGAACCTAAGCGAGCCATAACATCAAATCAAAAAAGGAAAAGAAAAGAAAAGAAAATGAAAGAATATAGCTACAGTCATAAAATCCAAAATCATATGCATACTTTCTAAAAAAGAGACAGATTGGAGAAGATAAGATGCATCTGTACTCAAACCTTTGTAGCTAGCTCGAGTCCCGCCTCCAAAAGTAGAGGTCCAGAGGATGTGTCTAGGGCAGTACGGACCGCAGAAACAAGTTGGGCCTGAGTTCCATGGCACAGTTGATCAATTACATGAAGCTCATTAGTACTATATATACTTAATCAGAAAAGCAATACTTTAAACTCAATTTAGATTTTCCCAAATTTGTTTGAAGAATTGCATCAATCAGTTCGAGAACACAATTTTGTACCATCAGTCTTTCATGATGCAAAAGAGTGATATACATTTAGAATAAATGCATGTATAGACCTGATACTGTTCCAATAGAAGGTGTCCAGGAAGCTCTGGGTCTGGTACCGTTAGAAACTGAAACGAGAAAGAAAAATATATATGTAAGAACCTTTGTTAGTGAAATCACAAAATCTGGCAAAAATTAGAAGAAACCCCTGCTTGGAATTAAATAGATAATAAGATAAGCCTAGTTCATCCAACACTACTTATGTGCAAATTAATTAATTAAATAACTAAGAAATTAATTCATACTGCATCAGTTGTTTCAATTCCTATATAGAGTATTGAATATTAGTTTTATACTAGTTTTCATGTTGTATGCCATTCAAATAAGCTTTGACTTTTAAGTTTAATTAACTTCCTTTCTCATGCAGCGGTTGGGTTGCTCCATTGCCACCAGGGTGACCAGGGTTCAAATCTTGAAAACCACATTTCTGTATGTGCAAGGGTAAGGCTGCATACATCTATCCCTCCCCAGGCCCCACATTGACAGGAGCCTTGTGCTGCACTGGGCTGCCTCTTAACTCCCTTTCTCATGATCTCCCAGAGAGTTGATTCACAATTGAAAGATCTCACGAGCAAGGGACAATTGGTAAGTTTTTTTTTTTTAAGATAAAATAAAAATTTTATTAAATAAAAAAAGCAATTACAAGGAAGGTGATAAGCAATCACCTGAGGGGAAGCAAAACAGAGACCCAAGCAAAGAAACCCCAAGCCCCAAAAGAAAACCACCCCAAACAAGAATAATCCTTGTGACCCAGCTAAAAAGAAAAAACCACACTGCAACACTAAGGCAAAACCCAGACCCTACCAACCAATATTGACACCTGCTGGAAACCCACACCTACTGCCCAATCCCAACCAAGACTCCCACTCGAAACTTATCAGCTTTTGGAGAACAATCTTATAGTTGCCTTTTCTCTGATCTTTTGTGTTTTTTGACAAGCTTATTAGGCCCAATGCCATATAAGCCTCCTTTTATCCATGCAAAGACTTTTGCAACTGGAACTTGCTGCTGACTTTTTCTACTCTTTTGAGATCTGAATCTCCTAATTGTATTAAGTGTTTTCATGGCTTCTTCCAGACTCCCCTCTGGCTTTTGACCGCTATTTGAAACCAACATCCCTCAGATAAATCCTCCTGCTTGAAAGCATCCCTGCCATCTCCAACAATCACTTCCTTTTCAGAATTGTCGGAATTGTCATCAAGCATTGGAATGACACTACTCTCTTTTTTCCCCATTTTTTTCCTCTACCGATCTGAATGCTTCCTTGGCAAACTCCTCCCCTTCTAACAAAAACAGCCCCAGAATTTTGCTGACTTCCACTTCCTTGTTTATCTCTTTCTCTAAATCACAATTCTTCTCTACCTCATGGACCTCATCCATCATAAGTTCTTCATTAGCCTTCCCTGAACTTCCTTCTTTACTTTCTTCTAAGGGGAAAGTTCTGTACTTCTTCCTTTTGTAAATTCGAACTCCATCTCCCATCTTATCTCCTTCCTCCTCCCTTCCCTTTTCCTCAATCCCTAATGCTTGCTCCCCTCTTTTCTTCTCAATTAAGTCTTTTGCCACTTCTCCTGCTCCCTTCCCCACTAATTCTTCCACAGCTCTCATTTCCTTTGCTCGTAAAGACCCAATCACCTCATCTCCTTGAATGATTTCCCCCCTCTTCTTCTGCTCTACTTTCATCCCTCTTCAGTAAAAGCTCAATCGTCTTTCTGCCATTCTCTTCTCCTACCACCGTTTTTTCTCCCCAATCATCCTTTCATGTCTTTCCTGAATTCCTCCCTCAACATCAGTGACATCTTGTATGTCTTCATCATCCTCCCCTTCCTCTTGATGCATATGATTGTCTTCACAGTCCACCTGAGTCTCCCCCTTCTCTTCCACACTTCTTTTTCCATCCCTGTCATCCTCTTGAGCCATCATTGCAACCTTATTTTTAGGGAAGAAAACTGCCGTTCTCCAAACATATCCTTCGGCATTGCAATCAGCCTCTTCTGTCACCACTTTCTCTATTGCCTCTTTAATCTGCACACCCCCAATATTAACAGTAGATGTACTATGCCACAGGGGCATTTCTGTCATTGTATCTATATTTTTTATGCCACCCTAATATAATAGAAGTGCGGGCGCTGCCAGCCCATCTTTTTGACTCCAAACCTTTCTCTCCCCTCTCCTTCCTTTTCTCTTCCCTCTTCTCACTTCTTTCTACTGGTATTTAACTTTTACTAAGAAAACATGGTATCAGACCATCAATTCTGAGATTAATGGTTGTTCGATAAATTTCTCTCTTCAGTTTTCTTCTTTTGATTGAAGTCAGTGGGGAAAAACTCGACTGATCTGTAAGTTCCTCTTCTTTTTCTTTCTTGGTTGTGTGCCAAGAACCCCCCTGAAAAGGGGTAAACTCATGCCGTGAAGGGTGTTTTCAGTTCTATGTGCATTATGCGATCTTGTTTTGTACCCTGTAACTGGGTTGTGCTGGTCTGGACGACCTGTGACTTCTGTAACAGCGGTTTTATGATTTGTTTGTGGTGCTTGGAGTGCTCTTGTGGCTTAAATAGAGTGTAATGGTCCTTGTAGGGACTGTCCAGACCAGAAATAAAATTGTTCCTTCTCTGGAATTTATTTCAGCAGCGTAGTGGTGTGCATTCTTGTTTTTTGATCGAAAAGGAATTGACCTACAGTTCAGATTTATGTGAATCTGAGTATTCTTGTGACAGTGGTAAATAGTTTTGTTTACTTCCTGCTGTATTTTGTGACCAAAGTAGTGCTATCAGCCCTTTCTATCAATGTCTTCTGAGGATTCAGTGGTTTCCTGTTTATGTGAATCTGAGTATTCTGGCCACAGTGGAATGAGCGGGGCATGAGACACGAATTTGCCTATGGCTGTAATCCCATTTGATGGACTTAATTACATAGAATGGTTGAAGGGGATTAAACTCTGCATAACTGCAATGTCAGGAAGTGCAGAACATGATAGGTGGGACCAAGAAAACAGCATGGTAATGTCATGGCTATTGCTGTCTACGCTGCCACAAGTAAGAAAAACTTTCATGTGGGTTGAAACTGCTTTTGAAATATGGGAGCAAGCTGCCTCTTCAACTTGCAAGCAAGGGGAGAGGAGTGTCTCCACATATTTCTCAGATTTGACCTCCATCTGGAAGGAATTGGACCACTATTAGAATGTGGACCGGAAATGTGATGAGGATGCTAAGGCCTACATGTCTCTGGCCTCTTAGCAACGGGTTTTTGCCTTCCTTTGGGGCTGAACCCGATGTATGAATCTATTAGGGTTCAGATATAGGGAAGAAAAGAGCTTCCATCAGTGCAGTAAGTATATGCTCTTGTACAGTTAGAAGAAAGCAGGAGGAATGTTATGAATTGTTCAGAGGGGGAGCCAGTTGCTTTAGCTGTTAGGGGAAGTGCAAATACAAGTATTGGAAGTTCTTTTAAGAAGACTAATTCTCAGAAAAGGGTGGACGGCAAAGATAAGTTGTGGTGTATGTTATGGTCACACCATCCGGCAAGGCACCGCGGCGCCATCATAGGCAGCAGCACACACAGCAGGCCGCACAGCAGTGGGCACCGCCTGGCAGCACTGCACAGCAGCATGCACCGTC